CAGAGCCCATGGCTTTTATCTGAACAAGGGACTCATAGACGAAGGAAGTTACTGTCAAGCCTCAATTACTTAGGGACTAATTATCCAGCTTATGGAAGAAAAAAAGTTCTTTACCTTTCTCGTACTATCTACCCTGCCACTGTCAATTACCAAGAGCATTTGACATGAATATGTGCAGGCCACTGTGGCAAAAAGGCTAACTGTTATGAGCTAAATGACTGAAAAGAAGCTTTCAAAATATTTTTTTTTGGATTTCACTTACTCATCTTGATTGACTAGTAAAATGTAAGTTGCTGTCCAATTGTTGAAACAAACAAAAAATAAATTCAACATGTCCAAAACTGAACTCATTCTCAATTACTGTTGAGGGTATCTCCACCCTCCCAGTCAGCCAGACTTGAAATACAGATGGCAATCCTCAACTCCTTAACTTTCACACTACCTCCATCCAATCTGTTGCCAAGGGCTGTCAATTTTTTCTTTCATAATGTCTTTCACATATGCCCCTTTTTCTCTTCTGGCCTTGCCACCACTGTGGTACAAACCCTCATCATCTCATGCCTGAACTATTAGAATAGCCTGCCTCAAGTCTCTCCCTACTCCAATCTATCCTCTATTCAGCTACCAAAGTGATCTTTCTAAAACGCAAGTCTGACCATGTCATCCCCTCCAGTGGCTCTCTATCATCTTTAGGATCAAATATAAAATCCTCTGTTTGTCATTCAATGCCCTTCATAACATGGCTCCTACTACCTTTCCAATCTTATACCTTATGCCCTTTCATGTACTCTTCAATCTACTAACATTGGCCTCCCTGCTATTCCTTAGACAAGATACTCTATCTCCTGATTCCAGGCATTTTCACTGGCTGTCCCCTGTGCCTGGAATTCTGTCCTTCCTCATTTCTTCCTCCTGTTTCCTTCAAGTCCTAGCTAAAGTCCTACCTTCTACAGGAAGCTTTTCCCAATTCATCTAGCACCTTCCCTCACTTGATTATTTCCAATTTATCCTGCATATAGCTTATTTACACATAGCACCATGTCTGACTTAATAAATGTCTGTTGAATGACTAGATAACAAGAAGACAAGGTCTCCAAATTCTTGAACTTGGGGTTCCCTACCAGGCAACCTTTGAGAGTAGCATTATTCAGGAATTCTCCTCCCAGCTAGAAAGCTGGTGTAATACATATGTCCTTACCCCATTCCCTAAGGTTCTTATCCCATTCTTCTTAGGTCATTCCCTCAGGGTTCTCAGGTATTCTGATGGGTTTGTGGGGAATCTCTTTTCTCTGCTATCAGCTTAAGCCTCCACTCACTGGCTGTATTCACCCCATTTTAGGGGCCCGGTTATCAGTAATTCCTTTTAACATCAGTTTGATTTTACAGATGGCTACTCACTTGACAACTGTAGGAAAAACAAGCATATAAACATTTTGCACCCAACACCTTGGGGCATAATATTCCCTATAGCACTTCAGTATCTGGGGAAGGATTAAGTTCTCAATCTAGCTCAGTTCTTTCATAACATTGCTCTCACCAAGTTCCTATCCAAAAGTGACATTGCTGCTGGCTCCTGTGCTCTTTGAGGCCTTGATGCTGGGTTGGCTATTATACCCAGCCTAGATTCCTGGCCTCTTAGTTTCCTGTGGCTCAGACCCTTGGCCTTTGAAACTTCCCTTTCCTTTCCCTTTCCCTTTTATTGGCAGCATATTCTCTGTTTACTTAAGAAATCTTTGATTTTTAAGACAAAGACATCAACAAGGTTCAAAAGTATCCCTTTGTATTCACAGCTTCCCAGAGATTTCTGAGTAAGTGGTACCAAGGGCCTAATCCAAGGGATTATGGGAATCCTGGGGCAAGATGTGAAGGAATAGAATTGTTGGCTAGATGGCAAGTTCCATGTCCCCAGGACGTAGGGGAGGCCTGTGACAAAGTAGGGACCAGGAAAACTCCTCCAAGCTCCTCCAAGAATACTGAGGCAATAAGAGACAGCCAGAGTTGACTTAGGCCCTTCTGAATATAGTAATAGCTATGGCTGCACAGCTAGTCTGTCAGTCAACTAGCTTTATTAAGTGTCTACTATGTGTCAGGCACTGTGCTAAGTGCAGGGGATACAAAGAAAGGCAAGACATGCTCTTACATACAAACAGTTCTGTACAAAGAAGATATATGTAGAATAAATTGGAGATAATCAATAGGGGGAAGGCAACCAGTGGAAATAGGCTCTTCCCAACTATGTGATGAGCCAACTAGAACCAGTCAGAAACTATCCCATCACATGCTCTAGTTATCGAAATTCTCCCTAGTGTCCTCCACACAGAGATGCCATCTTAGCAAGCTGATAGGATCTGTTCATGTACCAGACCCCCCATTATACTGGTATTTAGAATGACATTTTCTAGGAACTTTCTTCTCAGGCCACATGAGTAAGCATGTCTGCCTGTGTCATGTGCCTCATCCACAGGGCAGCCATTAACAGAGCCCTTGAGATATGAGACCTCCCTATAACCTACAACTATTGCTTGATAAGGATATCTCCCAAAGAAATGCAGAAGGGAAGAGGCAACAATGGGAAAGTGATCTATCAGTTCCATTGAATGGGCCAAGACAAAGAATGGTCTTTTCTCCATCCTCCCAAGAGTCTGAGCCAACCAATTCATCTTGGGGACAGTTTCTATCACTGATACTTAATTAGAAGATGTCTTTAGTCCTCTCAACAACATTCATAACTGTCTAAAGAAACTCTCAAGTCCCAAATATACCCTCTAAGCCCATCATGTTGAATTCTTTAAAGGAAATCCCTTGATCACCAATGTGTGCAGACACATGGTGTTGCATATATGCTCACACACACATACACTCAGAGATGTTTCCAACAAAATATCTCTTTTCATGAAGGATATATAAGACACTGTGAAACCACTGGGAATTTTAAGTAGAGTTACTTAACAGTTCAGTATTAAAGAGCATTGAATTTATGGCGATAAATGAGGTTTATATAGTGCTTTTAAGTTTGCAAAGTGCATTTTTTTATACATATAAGATCTCATTTGCTCTAATTCTTTGCTGACTTTCTTTTTTTGCTACAATAGAATACTAGATTAGGAAATTGAAGCTTAAAGAAGTTACGTTAAAGATTGCTCAATACAGCTAATATATACTAGAGGCAGGATTTGAACTGAGGGTTTCCTGGCAACAGCTCCAGCACAGTCTTTATTATATCATAGAGCCTGAGGAGGCAGTGTGGTAGAGGGTTCTAATTATGTCTCTGTGATGTGGGGCAAGTCAATTAATCTCTATGGGCCTCTGTAAAAATAAAATGACCTTTGAGGTCCCTTCAAACTCTAAGTCTGATTAAGTGTTGCCATCATGAAAAGATATATTTTCTAACCTAAAACACTTTAGTGGTGGCAATATAATCTTTTCCTTTCAAGTGATTTTACTTAGTTAGAAATTTCTTTATGTAAAATAGTTACTGCATTTATTTTTGGGGTAGAAAGCCAGCTGGCTCATCATACAACGTCTAATGTAGTTTTTCTCTGGATATTAACTACTGCTGGTTTGGTTACCTCAGCTCTGTAGATTTTTTGCTACAATGGAATGACAGTTTGTTATATTCATGGCACAGCCATTGTCATCTTCAAACTCAGTGGCCTGGAGTGTTATTGACAACCATAAAACTGATGCTGATATGGCAGATCCCCCATGTGAAGCTATATGATAGGGAATGGGGCTGCTGAGGGCCTGCTTTTAGCCAATTCACTTTCTGCTGGGGCTAAAGAACATCCCACTTTAGCCATGGTCCTACTAATCCCAACTTATAACATTAAATCACCAAGATACCTGAGAGTTAAGTTCAAAATAGGTTTCAGTATACTATATGTGTTGACCACCTTGGCAAGTCACTTTTGGAGCCTATTTTCTTAGCTATATAATGAGCTTCATAATACTTTTACTCCGCATTATCGTTCTGAGGAAAGAACTTTTAAATTTTAAAGCACCATGTCTAGGTAAATTATTTTTTAATACTTCAAGGATCCATTGGTGTGGTACTAACACAGATTGCAGCACATTGCTAATTTAGTATATAGGTTTCATGACAAAAGAATTCATCACCCCATGGCTGACCTGCTGACCTGGAGCCTCTCTCTGATGAAACTAGGCCGGCCCTAAGATGGGCCGCACAAGAGTTCTTTGTTAGTCTGTCATTGAACACTTTCCTGGTTGTTTTGATGGGCCACAGCCAGGCTCAGCTGACTTAGTCTATGAGAAGTCAAGGCCATTTCCATGTCACAATGAGGGACTTATCAGGGGGAAGGATATTGGTAAAAATGGTTTGGGTTTTTGGGGTCAATTTAAACATATTGTCGGGTAGCCTCATGCTTTTAATATTGGTTTTGAATGTCATTACAATAGGTTGAAGAACTTTTTTTTTTTTGCATTTTCCCAGCGAGGGCTTGAGAAGTCAATGTATGTCATGATTCACTAATACATGAATTGTCAAAATGAGCTGAGTGCTCTGGTTTGGGTAAATGGAAGGCCTAAACATAGCCAAGGGACCGTTCTCACAATTGCTGGTATTTGTGGGTGGGAGGCTAAGAGATATTCCCGACAAGCCGCCACAGGCAGAAAGATAGAAAGCAGAAGGAAGGCCCTGGTGCTTTAGCTCTGAGGTGCCTGAGGCTTGCGTCAAGGCCATGGAATTTGCGGGCCAGCTCTTTCCTGCAGTGGGGGAGCGGGGGAAGGGGTGGTGTGGCCCGTCAGGATGTGCCCTTTTCTAACTAGCCTTTTCTGGTGGCATGGGGAGGAGTCTCGCGACTCCGTGGGCTCGAAGGTCGATTCTCAATTCAAGATGGCGCGTGACGCCGTCACATGAAGGGCGTGAAGCCTCCGTTGGTCCGCGCGCCCTCCTCAAGCGGCAAACCTCGCGAGACTGAGGCGGATTGGCCCAACGGCCGTGGGGTGGGGCCGTGCGTAAGCAGGGCGTTGTGCCGTCACTTTGTGTTTGGTGGGAGTCGTTTCCGGCGGTTCCTTGGTAACAATGGAGAAGGAAATGGCCGCCTGAGCGACGTGCAGGGTAGCGGCTACCCTCTACCACTGAGTCTCCCCAACTGGGCTCAGACGACGGTGGCAGGAGGCGAGAACGATCGCCGCGGGCCCTGAGGAGGAGTTGCGTCCCAGCAGCGATCCTCAGTAAGTGGTGGTGGGCGGGCGGGAGCCCGGGGACAGCCGGGCGGGAGTCGGGGAGCCCGCGGAGGAGCCGCCCCGACCGTCTCTGCCTCCCTCCGCCTTCTCCGCCTCCGTCTCCTCTCAAAATGGCCCAGGTACCCGGTAGTCGGCCCAGAGCCCGAGGCCCGGCCGCGGATCAGCGCGGGGAGAGGAGAGGAGAGCCGAGGAGAAGAGAGGATGGCAGGGCAGGGGAGGGGAGGGCAGGGGGCGGGCTTCTCGGCCAAGTCCCTCGGCCGATGCCATTTTAGGTTGGCGATGGCGGTTGAAGCCCGGGGACCTTGGCCTTGGCCGCGCTTCGCCTGACTCCCCAGCCCCTGGAGACTCCCCTCCCCGCCCCACCCCCCTCGCCCAGCCCAATCCCCAAGCTTAGGAGCCCTCGGGATGAAATGCTCGCCTCTCATCGCCGGGCCAAGGGGACTTTTATCCGGGGGGGGGGTGTTTCCCCCAATTAGGGGGGTGGGCTGCATCCCCTTGCGGTTGAGGAAGTGGGAATCGAAACTAGACGGTCAGGTATCCGAAGGCCTTGAGATGGCAATGGCTTTAGTTTTGTGCCATTCTCTAGGGCCCGTTTTGCGGCGCGCTCCCCCCTCCTCGCTCCTCGCTCCCCCCTCCCCGCTCCTCGCTCCCCCCTCCCCCCTCGGCCGCCCGCCCGCCCGCCCGCCGAAGAGGATTCCTTCCCTGGGGCAGATAGAGTCTGCTATTTTACCCCCGCTTCAGACCGGAAGGAGTGGGGCTTTAGGATAGGGGGTACGAGTTGGATTGAGTCACTTTTAGCTTTTCGTTTCTTAAAAAATAAAAAAAATAAGTATTTGAGGGTTTAAATACCGAGGGTTTACGCAGGCCTTGTTGCTAGCCAGATGCGTTCACCAACACGTCACAATCACCGTTTATTGGTGGGCCTGCCGGTTGGTTACAAGACTCGCGTTTTCCCTTCTGCTGATTAATTTCAAGATGGAGGAGACGGCAGCTACATGTCTGCTCTAGATCATTTCTCCGTAATTACTCTACAGGTTAGCCCTTGGACCCGAGGCCTGGCAACCCCTTTCTTATTAGAGGCACCTGTTAACTGTAATGGTATTCATACCCTGCACTAGTTCTGTGCTAGTGACCAAAAATCTATGCTTGTAGAATCTGAGCTGATGAAATGCGTTTGAGTTACGGGATTTGTACTAAGGGGAAAGAAATTATTTGTTCAACTGCTAGTAACTGGCTTATCCCTTCGAAGGGCCACAGTGATCAAGGACAAGGTATCTGCTCAGAACGAGCCAAGGGAACACTCCCTGTTCAGGCTGACTCATGAGCAGTTTCAGACTTGAAGATAGGAAAGCACAGTTTTAACAGAATTTCAGCCATATTGAGCACGAGTAAGATTAGCTTTGTAAAATTGTAGCAGTATACTCCCAAAATTGCCTAGGTTTGGGAGTGAAAATTTACGGCAGGCACTTGAACTTTTAAAAAAGACGACTGTGTTTGGGAAATGTGTGTCGTCCTTCGGTTTCAGTTATGCTGCTTGACGACTTAATCCTTCTATTCCCACTATGGGACAATACCTTTAGATCCTTCTCTAAGCTAATGTTTTGTGGCAAACCTTTTTTTGATACATTTCAAGTTAAGCCCTTCTGAAAACATTGACTTGTAGGATTGGGCATTTTAATTCAGTATTATAGTATCTCCTCAAACGCTAGTGATCTTTTTGAATACTAATTAGTGGGCTTTTGTTCTTAACTACTTTACCTTTAGCTGATGTGTGGTTCAAATGTTTGAGTTCTGTGTGTATACATATATATACATATATATGTATATATATATATGAATGAAGAATGATTATTTTTTTCCTCTAACTCAAGGAAAGTAGTCTCATAATTATTGTATTTAAATTATGTATCTCAAGATGTAGATAATTTGCTATTAAGGCTTTTTGGTGTAGGATAAGGTTTTAAAACCTTAATAGAATTTCTTTTTAAAAGTCTTATGTGTATCTTAAGTGGAATTTCCACTCTAGGTAAGATCTTCCTGGGTTTATTAAAAAAAAAACACCTTAGAATTTGGGAGCTGGAAGGGGTCTTATATCAGAATGTTTTAATCATTCAAAACAAGAGAAACTTTCTTCTACTAAGAAAGATGAAATACACATAATGACTTGCAGATTGTGGGGCATTCATGATAAAAGAACTACAAAATTGTTCATTTGTCACTGAATTCAAGGACTCATGTCCAAATATAGAGATAGGGACTGAACCAATGATTTCATTGGCATAGGGAACTCCTAGGAGAGGATACTCCCTCTGCTAATGCAGGTTGGTACCTTCTCCAAAGATTTACAGAATTAGTTGCCTTAGAAAATGTGAATATGAGCTTTGCTAATTATAAAAATAATATACATAATTTGTTAATACTGGTGACATCTTCACTGAAGTTCTTTGGGAAGCAAAGCAGCCAAGTGCTATTGGAATGTTGATTTTTTTTTTCATTCCATTGATTGGCAGAATTTGATTCAGAATTCCTTATGGAAATTTAGGTCTCATTTTATCTTGGTTACAATATAATTATTATAGATTAAATAAGCATATGTTTTAAAATATAGAGGCAATTTGGTTTAGTGAAATAGACTGTTAGGCTTGAAACCAGGAAGACCTGGGATTAAATCCTACTTCTGACATATTAGCTGTGTGATTCTAGACAAGTCACTTAACTGTTTGGCTTAGTCAACTCCCTAGGACTTATGTACTAAGTCTTAAACAGTTTAGATCTGAATCTGTTGGGAGTTTCCATAATGGAAGTTCCCACATGAAAAATCACAGAGCTTTCCAGGGTAGTCACAGTAAAATTCTATAGGTTGTTTGATTTAGAAATTCTTATTAACTGAAATCATAATTGCTTCTAACTTCCAGTCATCAATTTATTGGTTCAAATATCCCAGGTTGCTGATTTACTCTGACTTCTAATTTTATAGTAGTATTACACAGTACCCATATAGTTCCTATTCCCCTAGCTTCAGAGCAAAAACATACATAGAGTCACAGATTCCTATAATTGGAAGAGACTTGAATGAGCATCTTTGGCCAACTCCCTACACGATTGAAGAGTACCCTTTATGACATCACTGACAGGTGGATCACTCAGATGCTGTTTCCACACTTTGCCACAGGTGTAATTGTTATAAGGTTCTTCCTTGTAGTAGTGGATGATCACCTGTCAGTGATGTCATAAAGGGAAGGAAGGCTTAGCAGATTGGAAGGTTCTAGTGTTTTTGGGAAAGTTCTGTCCTTGGATTCTCTTGCTTTCAGTCTGAGCATTCTGAGAATTATATAGTGTGTATATGTATATATATATGTGTGTGTGTGTGTGTGTGTATAAATTTTTATCTGTTTATATTATATATATAATTTATATATGTGTGTATATATAATTATTCAGTACATAGAATAGACTGTGGAATTGTGGTGATCATAGTGATTTCTTTTTCACTGTCATCTCAACTCTGCCATTTAATACTTGTGTGACTTTGGGCTAGTCCCTTAACCCTTTGGGCTTCTGTGTTCATCTGAAAAACTGAGTATTGCATGTCCCCAAGGGCCCTTTTATGGAACCCAGCCCAGTATATGAGCCTATAATCTCCATTTGGATTTGGGTGAAAAATGGTAGAATTGGTCATTTTACAGTCAACACAATTTTGCTTCACTTAGAAGAATGGTTATATGGGTGGAAGAGGGGAAATTTGCCCCTGACCTATTTAAACTGTCTTGTTATCAGTTCTTTAATCTATTGACTCTCTCTTACAGGAGCTGGATGGTGAACCATTTTGGCATTTAGCCTCCAGAAAAAAAATTTCAACTTCAAAGTTACTGTGATTAAAATTATAAGTGATCCTTTAGCTTTCCCTATTAGTCTGTGTTCCCAAAGTAGAATCCTCTTTTAAAGCAGTTTCAATATACCACTTGCTTATTGGAAGCATGCAATTGATGTAATGGCCATTGTGACCTTTTACTTTCATAGTATTCAATTGATATCTTACCCTGACAAAAATATCAAAATTAGTCCCAATATAGAAATGTTTTAAAAGTTCATTTTCTATTGAAACTTAAAAATTCTTTGCCAGAGAAGACGGATGTGATTTCATGTAGCTACTCACATTTTTGTAGTACTTTATAGTTTACAAAAACACTTTCTCCATAGCAACCCATTGGGGTAGTATAATAAGCATAATTTCCCCCACTTTACAGATGAAGAAACTGAGGTTTGGAGAATTTGAGTGATTTGTTCAATATCCCAGAGCTAATAAGTGTTAAAGCTAAGTTTCAGATACAGATTTCCTAATGCTCTGGTTAGCATTCTTTCTGCATATTAGGGAGTTCATTTCTTTTATTTCCATATAGCTGCCAGAATTTCTTTGAAAATTTGCTTGTCTTTTTATACCTGTTTTATATGCATCTTCTGTTATTAATGAGAATATTACATATAGGGAACAAAAAATGGGCTGGTTTGTCTGGATATAGTGTGTGATGCAGAGTAATGTATAATTAGCCTGCAGTGGTAGGCTGGAGCCATATTGGGAGGGGCTTTAAGCACCTAACCCAGTTTATCACCCCCCCCCCCCAACCATTGGAGCTTCTTGAGCTATGGAGTGACCTGGTCAGATTTGTGCATTAGGAATGTTCAACTGTGTGTGTGGAGGATGCTCTAGACAGGGCTGAGGCTGTTGCAATTGTCCAAGCAAGAGGTGTTGTGGAGGTGGAATAGATGAGGCTAGGCATCTCCTTGGATATGGTGAGGAAAAGAGAATGAAGAGTTGAGGGGGTCTCCTAGGTTGTGAACCTGGATGACTGGAGTAATGGTGGTATTTCAGTAGAAATAAGGAATTCAGGAAGAGGAGTGGGTTGGGCAGGAAATAGGAATTCTGTTTTGGATATGTTGAATTTGAGATGCCTATGGGATATCCCATAGGCTCTTAATGGGCTCATTCA